CTTGTTAATGCCACCAGAGGGCACCGACTCTAGAAGAGGGTTTCAAAAATCACAGTGATTCAACCTGTGGATGTTAGCCAGCCTCTTTCCTCAGCTCCTCAGTGCTTGCTCAACAGAGTCACGAACAAAGTGGCCATGATGGCAGGAATAGAGACTGTGCATGAACTCTACAATATAGACTTCCTCTCACCAAAGCCGATCTGGCCACTGATGTATGTCCAACCTGCCAACAGCAGAGACCAACACTGAGCCCCTGATATGGTATCATTCCCTGAGAGTACTAGGCACTTCTTGGTGCCAGGTTTATTGCACTACAAATAAGTTAGTTATGCTGCTCTGTAACAAACTGTTGGGAGACATTCTGGCGTTTCTGAGCAAAGGGCATCAACAGCTTTCCTTGAGGATGTTTGCAAAGCTACTTAGGAGCAGGGAGCAGACTTACTAACATTCCAGGGTAATAAAGCTAATATCGATTCCTGGAGACATTACAGGGTGATAAAAAATGTCTCCCATGGGTTGGAAGGCAGATTTGTTTCCTGACCAGTATAATACAGTCTCTCCCCAGAGGAAAGGTTTGTTAGCAAACCTCTTTTAAGATTGGAAGTTTCCTAAGTTCAGTGTGCATGGCATTCACCTACGTTGCTGCCATGGTGCGTAGGGGGGAAGGAGAATTCATACCAACTTGAAGTTCATGCCATCTACTATGCTGTGAATAATAAACTGTCTAAATTCATTTGGGTTTGTTGACTCCCTACCAGTTGAACCTATGAAGTGTGGCAAGTCAATTTAGCAGCTTAGATACTGCCTGACCATGTGACAATTCCTGATCCCTGCCAAATGTAATGCCTTAAGACTATAACCATTACTTATTTCTCAAGAGCCTACAGACTGGGCCACTCTGGTCTCAGCTGGCTCACTCATACATCTGTAGTCAGCTGGTCGATCAGCTGAGATGGAGCTGGTCTAAGATGGCTTCAGCTGGGTCGACTTGGCTCTGTTCCGTGTGGTCATTTGCTCCCAAGCAGACTAGGTTAGATTTGTTCTCATAGTAATGGTAGGGTTCCAAAATCAAGCAAAAAGCCTGGGAAATTGGTATGTAGGTAGACTTTCAGCTTAGGCTCAAAACTAGTAGTGCACATGACTTCTGCCACATTCTACTAGCCAGTCACAAGTCTAGCTAAAATTCAAAGGGTGGGGATAGAGATTCCACCTCTTAGTGCAAGCAGTTTCAAAGTCACATTTCAAGGGGTACACATACAGAGAGGGGGAGAATTGGGGCCATTTTTGTAATCATTCCACCACACACTGGATCCTTTCCATCACAGAGGGAGCAGTTATTTGTCCTCACAGGAATAGATACATACATATTCCAGATTCAGATTTGACTTCCCTACCTGCAATGTTTCTGCCAGCCTCATCATCCATAGATACCTCATTCTTTATCGTGGTATTCTATACATTGCTTCTGATTAAGAAACTTATTTTTTGGTGTAACAATTAAAGTGAAAAACTCGTTGATCTTGTCAGGAACCCCATCACTCACATGTAGCTGTTATAATAAAGCAGTTAAATTACCTTTTGTGGGCTGTTATGGTGCTAGCTGAGAGACAAAACATTGTGAGTTTGGGGTGCTACCTTATAGGTTTGTGGTATATGCCTTATGCCAACAGCTAAAATATTCTTCCACAATTAGAATACATGGGTCTGAGAATTAAGGGGTAGAGGTAGGAGCAGTTCCTCTCACTTTCATACCTAATAACTCATTTATGAATTCTTGGGCTCAGTAGGTTTGGAATGCTTAGTTTCCAAGGGAGGAACAGTTCCACTAGAGAATATAGTCATTTTTCATCACATTGGAACATGTAATGAGACTGTCACCTGGCCACTGGGGCTCTTGTTGCTAAACCAACAGGCAGAGAAGAGGTAGCTGGGGTGATTGACCCTAAATTCCAAGGGGAAGTTGGGTTGCTGTTACACAATAGGAACAGGGAACACTGATGCCCGGGGATCCCACAGGGGCACCTCAATGTATTATCATATGCAATAATAAAGGTCAAAGGACAATGGCATCAATTCAATAAAGACAGTTTTTCAATTCAACATTAAAGAATGTTGTGTTCTTGTTTCTGTACCAATCTGGCCCCAACATCTCAACTTTGTTTTTATTGCTCTTCCATGTTCCCTGTATGCACTTTACTCTCAATATGCACTGAATTTCCTTTGGTTTTATGAATGCATCAAACTCCTTCTTAAAGCCATGTATTTAATAAACTAGTGATAATACTTCGTATTATTGATGCTACAATGCACATTTAACATTTCTGAAATCAGGATACATCTCGAAATTGCTGTTGGCCAATTGCTCATGTGTAGACTGGATCATAGCAATTCATGTTGTCATCAATTCAACTGAGCTCTGTGCAACATTGGTAGTACATGTTTTGTCTTTAATTGCTATTTAAGGCCAGGTGTACTGGCTCACGCCTGTAATCCCAGCACTTTGGGAGGCTGAATGGGAGGATTGCTTGACGCCAGGAGTTGAGACCAGCCTGGGCAAAATAGTGAGACCCCTGTCTCTACAAAAAAATTTTAAAAATTAGCTGGGCATCATCATAGCTCACTGCAACTGCAAACTCCTGGGCTCAAATGCTCCTCCCACCTCAGCCTCCCAAGTAGCTGGGACTAAAGGCACATGCCACCAGGTGTGGTGGTGTGCACCTGTAGTCTTAGCTACTTGAAAGCTGAGGCAGGAAGACTGCCTAAGCCCAGGAGTTCCAGATTGCAATGAACAATGATTGTGCCACTGCACTCCAATAGAGTAAGACCTTGTCTCTAAAAAAATAACATTAAATTTTTAAAAATTGCCATATATCTTTAAATAGATTACCCTATAATTTGGCATTAAAATGAAAATGTTTTATGTACATGGAAAAACATGGAAACACAGCAGTATGTCATAAGATACAAATCTATGTCTAAATAAGTTTTTAAAATTTATTTTTATTATTATTTTAACCCACCCAATCACAACAGTAATTTATAATATTAGATTTTTTTTTTTCCCCGAGTTCCTGGCCTTCTGCTCTCCAGTGATTACCCTGCCTCGGCCTCCCAAAACGCTGGGATTACAGGTGTGAGCCACTGTACCCGGCTATTTGTATTTTTTGTTTTTTAGAGACAGGATCACCCAAGCTGGAATGCAGTGGCACCATCATAGTTCACTGCGGCCTTGAGCTCCTGGGCTCAAGTGATCCTCCTACCTTAGCCTCCCGTGTAGCTGGGACCTAAGTAAGTTTAAAAGAGCTCCTTCAGTAAACATACATAAATCTTACCAATAAGAAACCATTCTTTTTAACTTCAGCATTTTTTCTTAATATATATAAAACAATGGTTTTTTGTTTTTTTGAGACAGGGTCTCACTCTGTTGCTCCAGCTAGAGTGCAGTGGTATCATCATCGCTCACTGCAACCTCAAACTCCTGGGCTCAGGAAGTTCTCCTGCCTCAGCCTCCCAAGTAGCTGAGACTACAGGTGCTTACCACCACACCTGGCTAATTTTTCTATTTTTTGTAGAGACAGGGTTTTGCTCTTGCTAAGGATGGTCTCGAACTCCTGACCTCAAGTGATCCTCCTACCTGGCCTCCCAAAGTGCTAGGAATACAGATGTGAGCCCCCCCCCAGCCAGCAATGAATTTTTAAAATACTTGCTGGCAGCTTAGATTTGACAGACTATGGTAATAGTAATAATAGTAGCTAACATTTATCGAAGGCACTGTTTGCTAAATGTTTTTCATTTCCCTTGACACATTTGTATATCTTATGGTCTCTGTGGGCTGGAATGCCTTTCTTTCTGGGAAAACTCTTTTAAAGCTGGATTTTTTAAAAGAGTCTCCTTTATTTTTAAGAAAGGCTTCTGTGAGGAAATTAGGTCTGTTTGAACCACAAAACGTTACACAGTACCTTTCCGTTTTCCTGTAATGATCAATTTGGTTGTCTGCCTTCCCAGATTGCACGACCTTGAGGGTAAAGACCATCTTTTATGCATTTTGGGGTCCTCTGTATCTATCACGGCCACAGCTTTCTGCTTTTTCTAAGCATCCCACATTAACTCTTCGGAAAGAACAAAACAATGAACAGCTAGTTTCAAGCAGATTGTAAATCTTGACCTTGAATTTACTAACACGAGCACTACACTTCATAGCCTGTAAAATGCTGCTGCATTATTTCATTCCATTTGTCACGTCTGTCAGATTAGGTATTATAAGCACTTTTGTAGTTGAGGACATTTTGTTTATCAAGTGCCAGAGCTGGAGTCTGAAACTTTGTTGGTTGACCTTTGGTCTCGAGATTCTTTCCATCGTACGACAGCCATCAGAGAAGAGATCGATTGCTTAAGGGATGGTAGCTTTCGCATAACTGGAAAGAGGGAGCTTGAAAAGGCACCCCAAAGCACTGGTGAGGTGGCGCACAGCTTGAACAAAATCAACGCTCTGTAAAGCTACAAGCAGCAAACACTGTGTGCAGCAAAGCAAAGGATGATGAGACTGTTAGCTTACCCTCTTTCCGTTACTTTGAGAGCCAAAACCCTCGCACAGCTCCACGTTTTGCCTCTAACTCGGATTGCCCACCTCTGCCCCTTAATCTGTATTTCCTCCCTCCCTTCACTCGGCTGAGGGCCCGTCTCTCGGCCACTCGGAGACCACCAGCAAGCTTCCAAAAGCTCCCATTGGCTTGTCCACCCTTTCAGTCCCGTCCCTCCTGCCAGAGGCCCCGCCTCCTTCAAGCCACGCTCCCGTTTTCGTTCCTCTTGCGCAGGAAGCGACGGCGGCCAAATCGGTCCGTACACAAGGAGGGGAAGTCGAACAGCAGGAACTGGCCTCTCTTTCCCGAAGCCCCACTGCCTTGTGGGATCGCGGCGGGTTCCTCCAACCTGGACAGGTTCTCTGAATCCCTCCACCCCGCCTCCTTCGTTGAGTACGGAAGCTGAGAGGGCCCGCGAGCAGCCATGGCGGCGCATCTTAAGAAGCGAGTGTATGAGGAATTCTCTAAAGTGGTTCAGGTAAGTTTCGGCAGGAAAGGTCCCAGGCCCCGTCTGAGTCCGGGAAAGTTCTCCGAACCCCAGGCACTTTGCCGGAACAGGTGCCATAGTCCCGTGTTGAGTGCCGACTAATTGTTAATCTGAGACCGCATGTTAGTGGGCTTGCCGCCGCTCCTGTTGTTATTAACTGATATATAAAGTCTGACACGGTTTTAAAAAATTATTAGAAGAAACAAATAGTACTTTACAATCTACAAAACTGTCTTATCAGTTATCTCATTTTGTTCTCTCACACAGCCTTACTAGGTCGGGTTACATTAGCATCCTCTTTTCCACATGTGGACGTTGAGCCTTCCGGAGGTGTACGAGGACACAGCCAGTTAGCAGCAGAGCCCATCCTAACTCTAGTTCCAAGGAAAGCACCCAGCGACAAGTTGGGCTATAATATGCAAAGCTCTAAAGGGTTGGAAGAAGTCTGTAGAATTTCTCCAGGCCCAGTCAAAGCAGGCGAGGGTCACAGGCTTCATAGGGGAAGAACTAGCTCTCTGTTGGTGGAACAGCTCACCTAGAAAGGAGGGCAATACCTTTTTCCCATGGTGTTAAGGACAGGTGGGCCGAGCCCGTGTCAGAGCAGTCACTGATGCTCCATATTTTTTAAAGTAGATGTCGCTAAAGTAGAGTGTGATCTCAAATTATCCTGTGTCTAGCTTCTCAGACTGTAATGTGTACAAATCACTGGGGCTCTTATTCAAGCGTAGATTCTATTCGGGGTTGGGTGTGGGAGGTAAGGCAAGATTGTGCACTTCTGTCAAGTTCCCAATTCATGCAAATGGATCAGCTGCATCCTTAGATTCTTAGACTTGTAGAGTAGCAAGGCTTAGACATCCAGCAGGAAACTGGTCCTTAAACGTTACATTCATACATTGTGAATTCAACAAGAATTTATTGAATAAATGAGTGATTACTGCACACCAGGCATGATGAAATGTTTTGAGCTGTAAAGTCTAATACACATCAGGGTCCCTGCCCTTTAGGAGCTCACAAGCTAATGGGAGAACCAGAACTGTGTCCGTGGTCATAGTGTAGAGAGATGATTGCATTGACAAATCAAGTCTTCCTTCCATTATCTTTTGCAGCTCCTTTTCCTAAAACCACACTCCTTAGCCCTCTGTGATCTGACAGTGTTTCTTTCCACCCTTATTGTCATTTCCTTTCTTTTTTGTTTTGTGAGCACATGTTTGTCCCGTGCTCCCCTAGTCTGCTGGGAAATTTGTTTCTTATTCTTGTTTATTCTTGTGGTAGCTTTGATTAAGATTTGGCCTTGATACTTTTTTTGTTGCTTATTTTTATGTGAAATTCATTTTCCTGAACTTTTAGAATGAATCAAGGTTCAGGAAAGCTTTTCTAACATTACAGAGTTCCCTCTTCTGTGGCTTGCTTTCTGGAATTTTCTGGCTCTATTTCCCTTGCACACCTTTTTTTTTTTATTATTGTGGTAAAATATACATAATATAGAATCTACCATTTTAACAATTTTAAGTGTAAATTTCAGTGGCATTAAGAACTTTCACATTCTTGTGCAGTGTCACTTCCTTTCTTCCCAACATTCTGTTGTTCCAGTGTCCCAAGACAGCTCACCCCTCTTCCAGCATGCCATGTGTTTGAACATCTCCAGACTTTTGTACCTGTTGTCTTTTTTACATGGAATGCATGTTGTTTTTCCCTTTCTTTTTGTTTTCCACTTGGTGGACTTAATGTTTTTGCTTCAAGACCCAGCTGAAACCTCAGCAAGAGCTTAGTCTCTCTTCATCTGCTTCCATAGCACTCTGTTGTCCTCAGTTATTTGTACTTTTCATTCAGTGCTACTGTAATCACTACTGTATGTATCTCCCCACCATTATCTCTGCTCCTTGAGGGCAGAGATAATGCCTGGTTCATCTCTGTGTCCTGTAGATTGACCATAGGGCCTAGCTCACTAAAATGTTATTGATGGTTGAATGATTGCTGATACTAGTTTGTCCTCTACCTTAACAAAGTCCCTATGGAAAGAATTCTTTCCCAGCTTTTGACCAAATTGCAACTTAGATAACACTGAAAACTGAAATTTGCATGGAATGGGATGAGAATGAGTAAGAATTTTAAGGGATGAATTAATTTCTCGACTTTATTTTTTTTTTTTATTTTTTATTTTTTTTGAGACAGAGTCTCGCTTTGTTGCCTGGGCTAGAGTGAGTGCCGTGGCGTTAGCCTAGCTCACAGCAACCTCAAACTCCTGGGCTCAAGCGATCCTCCTGCCTCAGCCTCCCGAGTAGCTGGGACTACAGGCATGTGCCACCATGCCCGGCTAATTTTTTCTCTGTATATATTTTTAGTTGTCCAGATCATTTCTTTCTATTTTTCAGTAGAGACGGGGTCTCATTCTTGCTCAGGCTGGTCTTGAACTCCTGACCTTGAGCGATCCACCCGCCTCAGCCTCCCAGAGTGCTAGGATTACCGGCGTGAGCCACCCGCCCGGCCCTTCGACTTTATTTTTGATGAGTACTTACCATATGGGGATTAAATGAGATCTTAGTGCATCTGTTCCTTTTCCTTTGCTGCAAAGATGTAGGATGAGAGAGAATTGATATGTGTCTAGCACTTATTATGTGTATATTCAATAAAAACATGATTTAGATTTCTCAAATATTCTTGTGAAATAGATATTGGTATTCTCTTTTATAGAAGGAGAAGCCTTCCCTGGCTGGTAAGTGGTTATTGAATACAAATTCCTCTGACTCCAAAGCTCTTATTCTTTTTATTGTATCATACTGTCTTCTTATCTAGAATAATCCTATCTCTTCTCTGTAGAAGTATGAATTTGTAAGGAGGTGATTGCCCAGTACACCAAAATGATGTATTGGGTGTTAAGGAAAATTATTGATTATAACATTTACCTTCTGTTAGGATCCTCTTCTATACCTGCCCACCATGGCCTAACTTAAGACTTGAAGTAACAGGTTACTCTTTACACAGACTTTTAACATTCACTTTGTGTAATGAATGCATCTAGAATGGTTCTAGTTATATACTATCCTTGAGAGAATTGAGGAAATCACTCAAATAATTTTCTGTGTTCTGTGGCTCATATGGTGTCCTGGTTGAGAAAGACTGGTGGGAAGTGTTGTTGTTCCTATTTTATAGATGCTAAAAGTGAGACTTATGACTTTGAACAGAGCAGCAGAGTTGGAACTCAAAAATAACTCTTAATTCCAAATCTATCATTCATTCAGTAAACATCCATTAAGTGGCTACGGTTTGCTAGGCATATGGCATGTGTTTTTTCCTACACTGACCATCCTTCTAATAAAGGCAGAGTGGTTTGGGTAAAAGATAGTCACCTGTAGTGGGGAAGATTTTTTCTTCAGTGTAAGCTGCAGACAGTTCCCATCAGCCCTAGTTTTCTAAGGAGGGAATCTGAGCCTGGTGGGTGCCTTAACACAATCTCAATATATTTGTAGAACTGATATTTGTTTTCTAATAAAGAATGGAGTAATTTCTTTCTATGGCTTCTAAACCCCAAAGCTACAACAATCCTCAGAGATCGGTGGAACAAAATGTTAGTGTACCTATTTTATAGAGAAACAAACTGAGACTTTGAGAAATTTAATGACTTGCCCAGAGTCCTGTAGGAGCTAGTGAAAGGCAAAATTGGGACTCATGACCTTGTCACCAATCCAGTGGTCTTATCCTAGTTTATAACACTGCTTTTTTCTAAGTCTAGGTCTATTATCTAAATATATTATTTGGTACAAGGGAAATTATTTCCATCAAATGAGGCAAAGTTAAAGTTGTAGACTGTGCTTTCAGTTAAGTTTTTATGTCTTACCTTCCCTACCCTGTTGCAGCAGCCACAGGAGGAAATCGCTACTAAGAAACTCCGACTGACAAAACCAAGTAAATCTGCAGCACTCCACATAGATCTGTGTAAAGCTACCTCCCCAGCAGATGCTTTGCAATACCTACTCCAGTTTGCCAGGAAGCCTGTCGAGGCAGAAAGTGTGGAGGGAGTAGTCAGGATTCTCTTGGAACATTATTACAAGGTAAGAAAATCTTGAAGACCTAATGGGAGTATGTGTAAGAGTTGTATTGTATCTACAGAATGGTTAATATTGCAATAAATAAGAAGATGTTCATTTGGCAAGTTTTACTGAATGTCTTCACTAGGTACTGTGGATAGAGATAAAAAAGATGCAAATCCTGTCCTCAGAAACTGACAGAATACTAGATGGAGACAGACATGTAGACAGTAGTGTGCATCGAAGGTACTGTGCCGAAGGTACTGTGAGCGTACGTAAAGAGTGCAGTGGGAGCACAAAAGAGGAGTTGACGTCAACCATACCCTTCTGTAACCGGATTCATATTTGGAATGTAGTCCCTTTAACATCCTGCTGTTCCTGTTCTAATTTCTGGCCCTCATACCTAATTGCAATAGCCATTTTTTTTTTTAGCAGAGTGGCATTTATTTCTTTTATGTATTTTAATGGATTAAATAAAACATCAATTCATGCGTGATTAAATAATGTAAACAGAAAACGAAATCCATAATTTGTGTTTATTTTTCAGTTTATATAGGTGAGATCTGAAGTTTAAGGAGAAATTATTTGAACCACAGATTAATTAAATTTTAAAAACACTAGTATGAAATTTTCTTTTTTTTTTTTTGGCATCTCTGGGTGGGCCCAGACTTTTTTTTTTTTTTTTTTTGAGAGAGGGTCTCTCGCTGTTCCCCAAACTGGAGTGCAGTGTGGCAAGATCATAGCTCACCGCAACCTCAAACTCCTGGGCTCAATTGATCTTCCTGCCTCAGCCTCTCAAGTACAGGCTTGCACCACCACACCCGGCTAATTTTTTTTTTTGAGATTGAAAATTACTGAGCTTATGGAAAAGTAGAGAAAATACTATAATGAACTACCAAATATCCATTCCTGGGATTTAAGAGTTATCAATATTTTGCCAAATTTGCTCCATTTGTTTTCCTGAAGTTTTTTTTTTTTTTTTTTTTTTTGAGACAGAGTCTCACTCTCTT